GCTTTGTGTCCTAACATGTGGTCATTCTTTGAGAATGACCCATGTGCACTTGAGAAGAATGTATGTTCTGCAGCTTAGGGGGTAAAATGTTCTGTAAATATCAATAAAGTCCAACTGTTCTAGTTTGTCTTGTAAGGACTCTATTTCCTTGTTAATTTGTTTTCTAGAAGATCTGTCCAGTGGTGTCAGTGGCATATTAAAGTCACCCACTATGATCATGTTTCTATTGATCTTTCTTTTGAAGTCCTCCAGAAGTTTTTAGATATATTTCGGTGCTCTCATATTTGGTGCATATATATTTACCAGGGTTATATCCTCTTGTTGGATTGATCCTTTTAATGTTATGTAGTGACCTTCTCTGTCTCATTATGGCCCTTGTTTTGAAGTCTATCTTGTCAGATATGAGTATTTCTACACCAGTTTTTTTCCATTTCCAATTGCTTGGAAAAATTTTTTCTATCCCTTCGCTTTCATCCTGTGTGAGTCTTTTGTTGTAAGGTGGGTCTCTTGTAGACAGCATATATATGGGTATTATTTTCTTATCCAATCAGCTACCCCATGTCTTTTGATTAGAGCATTTACATTTAAGGTAATTATTGATAGATAGATATTAGTTGACATTTTAATTTTATGCCTGTGTTCCCCTCCCCCCCTCTCTCTTTTTCTCCATTTCTTCTTCTTCCTGCAATAGTCCCGTCAGCATTTCTTGCAGTGCTGGTTTGGTGGTGGCAAATTCCTTTAACTTTTTTTTTTTTTATCCATAAAGCTCCTTATTTCTCCTTCAATTTTGAATGGTAGCCTTGCTGGATATAGTAGTTGTATTCAGACCCTTACCTTGCATTACTCTGTACACTTCATGCCACTCCTGTCTGGCCTGCATTGTTTCTATTGAGAAATCAGCTGACAGTCTAATGGGAGCTCCCTTGTAGGTAACTTTTTGTCTATCTCTTGCTTCCTTTAGGATTCTTTCTTTGTCTTTAATGTTTGCCATTTTTATTACAATGTGTCTAGCTATGTCTTCTGCAGTTCATCTTGCTTGAGACTCTCTGTGTTTCCTGGACTTGTGTGACTTTATCATTCACCCATTTGGGAAGTTTTCTGCTATTATTTATTTAAACAGGTTCTCTATTCCTTTCTCTAATTCTTCTCCTTTTAGTATCCCTATAATATGAATGTTGTTATATTTTGCATTGTCCCACAGCTCCCTTAAAGGAGCTTTTTAATTTTTTTTCCCATTTGCTGCTGTATTTGGGTGTTTTTATTTACCTTGTCTTCTAAGTCACTGATTCAGTCTTCAGCTTCTTCTAATCTATTATTGAACCCTTCTAAGGTATTTTTCATAACAGCTATGTAATTCTTTATTTCCTCTTGATTTTTATGCATAGCTTCTACCTCTTTTTATAAGCTAAAGTAGTTCCCAGTGAGCTCTTCATAATTCTTATTAAGTTGCTTGTAGTTCTCATCAAATTGTTTGAGCACCCTTAAAATCATTGCTTTGAATTCTTTATCTGACAAGTTGCTTTCTTCCATTTCCTATAGTTCCTTCTCTCGTGATTCCTCTTTTTCTTTCCTTTGGGTGTTGTTCCTTTGTCTCCCCATTTTAGCCATCTGGTAGCTCTAGACCCAGTGAGGGATGTTTGAATGTGTAGGCAGCTCACTGTATATCTAATTAGGCTACTGTGCCTTTTAGACTTATTTTCTTGCCTGCTGTGGATCCTGGATAGTTGACTACTGGGGGCTGGTATTGGTGTGCCCTGGTAGGTTCTGTTGCTGGATCATGTGGGCCCCTCTGAAGCTGTGTTCTCAGCTGGTTGCTAGTGCCACCTGTAGCTGTATAGCTCAGGCCCTGTTGGAGCCGCGCTCTCTGCCCATACCATGAGCAGCTGTGTTGCACAGGCCTCACTGGAACCCTGGCTCCCCACCAATCTTGTGAGCAGCTGGGTTATACAGGCCCCATTGGAGCCCCCACTTCCTGCTGAGCCCATGGAAAGCTGTATTCCACAGTCTCTTCTGGAGACCTGGCTCCACGCCTATCTTGTGGGCAGCTGGGTCCCACAGAACTCTCTGGTGCCCTAGCTCCCCCCAGGTCCCGTGGGCAACTGGATCGCTCAGTCCCTTTGGAGACCCAACTCCAAGCTATTTTGTGGGTAGCTGAATTGCACAAGCCTCTCTGGTGTCCCAGCACCCTGTAGGTCCTGCAGGCAGCTAAATTGCACAGTCCCTTTGGAGACCCAGCTCAACACTTATCTTGTGGGCAGTTGGTCCCGCAGGTCATATGGGCAGCTGGATCTCACCAGACCCTCTTGAGCCCCAGCTTCCCACCGCTCCACTGGGTCACACAGGCCTCTGTGGAGTCCCAAGTCCTGCCACTGGCAGCTGGGAAGTGCTGCTGCCCAGTGGGGCTTAGGTCCTGCTCAGTTTTTGCTGTAGTTTTTGGGGATGGGTTTCGGCTGCTAGTCTGTTCTTGTGTTGCTTGGGGATGGATGTCTACTCCCCAACCTCTGTTGCTGGGCATATATCTCGACTCTGATCTGGCTGCTACTGTGGGGGATGGTACTGGGCTCCCAACTGTTTGTGGCTTCCACAACTGGCCCCTTGGCAGCTTCACTACTGTGCACTGGTCTGTGTTGACACAGGGTGTCCATTGGTCTGATGGTGCCAGGTACACAGGTGGGCTTAGGTTGCTGGGCCCTAGCGGCTCCCACTGCCTCCTCCCAGGGAAGACCCGGGATCTTCCAAAATGGTGGGACCTTCCCAGGGCATAGAGAGAAGTGCCCTGAAGAGCCGCTTACCATGGTGGCTGCTCCCCATCCACAGCACAGAAACCTTCTGCTTCACGTCTCTGCACTGCAGGAGTTTGGTTGTCCACCTTCATGTCCACTCACACTCTCTCACACACTAATTCACTTCTCACACACTCACCCTCCCTCCGGTCCTGCCTGCCACCATCTTTCCAAATTCATTTATTAAATCTAGCAGAGTTTTGATGGAGTCTTTAGGATTTCCTATGTATAATATCATGTCATCTGCAAATAATGACAGTTTTACTTCTTCCTTTCCAATTTGAATCCCTTTTATTTTATCTTCCTGTCTGACTGCTGTGGCTAAGACTTTCAGTACTATGTTAAATAAGAGTGGTGAAAGTGGGCATCCCTGTCCTGTTCCTGTTCTTAAGGAAAATGCTTTTAGTTTCTGCCCATTGAGTATGATGTTGGCTGTAGGTATTTCATATATGGCCTTCATTATGTCAAGATATGATTCCTCTATTACACGTTGCTGAGCATATTTATCAGAAATGGGTGCTGGATTTAGTCAAATGCTTTTTCCATGTCTATTGATATGATCATTTGGTTTTTATCTTTCATTTTGTTTATGTGGTGTATCACATTTATTTATTTGCAAATATTGTACCAACCTAGCATCCCTGGGATGAATCCCACTTGGTCATGGTGAATAATTTTTTTGATGTATTGCTGGAGCCGATTTGCTAATATTTTGTTCAGGATTTTGGCATCTATGTTCATTAGGGATATTGGCCTGTACTTTTCTTTCTTTGTAGTGTCTTTATCCGATTTTGGAATTAGAAATATGCTGGCTTCATAAGATGAGTTTGGAAGTCTTCCTTCTTCTTGAATTTTTTGAAATAGTTTGAGGAGAATGGGTGTTAGGTCTTCTTTGAACGTTGGGTAAAACTTCCCCATGAAGCCGTCCAGGCCTGGGCTTTTGTTTGCTGGGAGAGGCTTGATTACATTTTAAATTTCCTTTGTTGTTATTGATCTGTTCAAGTTTTCTCTCTTTTCTTGGTTCAGTTTTGGGATACTATGTGTTTCTAGAAATTTGTGCATTTTGCTTAGATTGTCCAATTTGTTGCCATATTGTTGTTCATAGTATTTGTTAATGATCCTTGTATTTCTGTGGTGTCAGTTGTTACTTCTCCTCTTTCATTTCTGATTTTGTGTATTTGGGTTCTCTCTCTTTGTTTCTTGGTGAGTCTAGCTAAGGGTCCATCAATTTTGTTCATCTTTTCAGAGAACCAGCTGTTTGTTTCATTGATCTTTTGAATTGCTTTTTTTGGTCTTTATGCTGTTTATTTCTGCTCTGATCTTTATTATTTCTTTCCTTCTACATGCTGTTGGGTTTTATTTTTGTTTGCTTTCTAGTTATTTAAGTTGTGAGGTTAGATAGAATTTTTTTTTGTTTCTTGAGGTAGGCCTGTAGTGCTATGAACTTCCCTCTCAGAACTGCTTCGCTGCATTCTATAGCTTTTGTGTTGCTGTGTGTTCATTTTCATTGGTTTCCAGAAAGTTTTTAATTTCTTCCTTGGTCTCCTTGGTGACTCATTCATTGTTTAATAACATGCTATTTAGCGCCCATGTATTCAAATGTCTTTGCATGTTCTTGTTGTAATTGTTTTCTAGTTTCATGCCATTGAGATCTGAGAATATGCTTGATATGATTTCAATCTTCTTGAACTTGCAGAGACTTAGTTTGTGTCCTAACATGTGGTCTGTCTTTGAGAATGTCATATGTGCACTTGAGAAGAATGTGAATTCTGCAGTTTTGGGGTGTAATTTTCTGTAGTTATCTATTAAATCCATTTGATCTAGTACATCATTTAGAGTTTCTCTTTCCTTCTTAATTTTTTGTCTAGAGGATCTATTCAGTGACGTCAATAGGGTGTTGAAGTCCCCTGCTATGTTGTATTGCTGTCGATTTCACCTTTGAAGTCCTCCAGAATTTTTTAAATATATTTTGGTGCTCCTACATTGAGTCCATATATGTTTACCAAGGTTATATCTTCCTGTAGGATAGATCCTCTAAAGAATAATTGTTAACAGTGGTATTTGCTGTGAAATACTTTTATTTAAATATTCATCTCTCCTGTGAGCTCCACATTGCTGGGATATAGTCTGACATCACTTTGAGCCATGCAAGGTAATTTTGAATGTGATTAGGATTTTTTTCCTCCTGCATTCATATCACTGTCTTATCTCTAACAGGCTATTTGATGCACGAGTTTCATAAGTTTTGGATTGAAGAAGACCCCATGGACATAATGGAATTTAATCGTGTGAGGGAGAAATTCCGCAAGAGGATCGTAAAACAGCTGCAGAACCCAGAGATGGCACTGTGCCCACACTTTGCTGCCTCAGAAGGTTTAATCAACATATAGTTGCCCACGCTGATTTTAATGGATACCCCAGAACACTGCCTCATTTTTGTGTTAGATCTCTGCTTTGGCCCAGCTCACACACCGAATGCACATGGTGATTGTATGCATGCCTTTTGGTACAGTGTTTTCATCTCCTGGTCATAATTACCAGATCCTCAGATCTGTCACCCAGTGACTGCTCACATTGTGGCATTATGCGGTGTTACATCCTGCCTTAACACCAGGTATGGAGAGAGTTTTCTATTTTTTTTTTTTTTTAGGTTGTTTTCCTCCCTCTCCTAATTCTGCATTGAAGAACTGTATTTCTCTAGCTGTATTTTGTATGTAAGAGAGTTAGTTGAATCTTGTTCTGTGGAAGTCTTTTAACTTATTGATATGTTTCATGACTACTGCTGCTAGCTTTTCAAGCCAGACTCATGCTTGGGGCTCATTCCAATAAAGTATAAGACTTTAAAATAGTACAGACAGACACATGATAAGCCAAACCATTCCTGCAAACATAGTTGTGCTTCACAAAAATGTAACAAGGCTTATAAGAAGCAAATTTAGATAGGTGTTGTTTTTGTTTGAAGTACTGCACAATTATATTGTAACTTACCCCCAAGTCTGTTATAGTTATTTGGATATCCAATTATTTTATTTCCATAATTTCACTGGATTAGATGCCTAAATATGTTTATGATGCTTAGAGCCTCAGAAAAGGAGTATATATACATACATCACAAGCTGCAAAAGGGTTTTCACTGCCCGCCTCTTGCTGAACTCAGAGTTATACCCTGGCACTGTTCTGATCCAAACATCTTTGCTTGGGGAACTGAATATGCTGACTGGTTCGCTTTCTCTGTCAAGAGGCAATATTAAAAAACAATTTACAGAAAAATGCGTTGCAAAAGAGGAACCTCAGCTATGTCATTCTGCAATAGTTCTTGAAAATAATGGCCTTGTCTTGTGTCAGTAGAAGTAAATTGCATGGAGGGGGGAAAAGATCTAATCATTCCAAAACTGCTAAAAATCATTTTAAAAGCCATGACTTAGTTTGGAATTATGATTGTAGTCTGTTGAATAATATTTACCGTGGCATTTCATACCCATGGTATTTTATACCTTCTACCAGTTTTAGTATTATTAGACATTTGTGTAATCACTTGCTTATTTAAATGAATTTTGAGTACTGCCTGTCAGTTATATGAATAAATGACATGTCACTGTATTGTAACATATAGTGGATTCCATTTTAATATCTTTGTGTTCATACAGCTTCTGAATATGTAAATATGTCAGTGGGTAGAAAGACAGACAACCTGGGGCTGAATATAAATCATGCCATCATTCAGAATAACCAGGAATAAATTAGAGTGTGTCATATCTGAGAAACTTCTTTTATTTAACTGACCTGGAGGCCCGGTGATGCTTTAAGAAAAGAAGAGATCCACCTTTTTCTTTGTAGTTTCCTATTGAGCCTAGTCTGCCTGCTGTTAGATAGGTAATAAAGAAAACATTAAGCTGCCCATTGTTTCCTAGTCCATTCTAGTTCCTCTGGGATTTTGCTATCCTTTCCCTCTCTGCTGTGTACCAGGTGGCAGCATTTGGCATGTGTTTACAACAGCCCTGTGCCCTTTCTTAGAATGGGGAAGGGAAGGAGTTGGTTAATGAGTGGTGTGCACCATGAGTAATGACAAGAATATATATATATATTCCTCCCTAGAGTAAGTGAGAACTTGTGAACCAGGTCATGGGCCTGTCTTGGGAGCCCTGGATTTCTGCTGCTAAAGATGAAAGCATTATTCCATATGCAGTCCAACTTTTGTCAGCTATGGGTCCACTGCACTCCTTTGTCACCAAAGTGGCTTAAACTCCGCTAGTTCCTCTTAGTTCAGACTATTATTAGATTCCTTATTCACACCTCTTTGTGGAAGATGCATTCTATCCAGTAACATGAACTAGATGAGAAAAAGAAAAGCAGAAAGCTTAAAAAACATTAGAAATGTGTGATGTGTTTTCCTAAAGCATTGTTACCTTGCTTTTGCTCATTCCATTGAACATTGACCACTTAAAATATAAATGATATAGCAAGCCTCTTGCATGTCTTCCAAAACACTAATTGCTAAGATAAAAACAAATTCCAGCTCACACTACAGAAAAAAATCTCTTTGAAGCACCATTTCTGAAAATTACAACTTCAATCTGACTTTCCGTCTCACAATTCTTGTTATTGTACTGAAAAAAATACCCTTTGCCTGGTAACCCATCATCTTTTCTATTTGAAAAAAAACTTAAATAGGGGGTGATCAGGAATAAGTTTACAATTTTAATACAAATAATGCTATAATTAATAAATAATAAAATGAATAAACTCTATGTTTCGTGTACTCACACCTGTACACCTACTTTTGCCCACCCTGTATATGACAATCCCAAATAATAGGATGACCTTACAATGTATCCTCCAAACCAGGACACTTTTGAGAGAGGAAAAAGATGCTATTAAAATTCCTTTAGGACAACAGGGCACTCTAGGACAGTGTGAGGAAACTGAAGTATTAGGTGATTAAGAGAGACCAAGAGATAGACATAAGTAGCATCATCTACCCACAACTCAATTAGATAAGCAAGACCCAATTTATTCACTCTCTAACCTCTGCAGAAGTACAGCATGTGGATATAGACATCGTGATATCCAGGATACTACCCCAAATCAGAGGGTGGGAGTGTTCTGAGCTAGAAGGTCAGCTGAATCAGCTGGGCTTATAGCCAGTTGGCAGTGGGGAAATAAAACCTGGCCATCAAACTTCATGGCTACAGATTATCTTGATCTGTAAACATATGGGGCCATATCTGAACTCATTGGGAATGAGAAGGGGCCCAGAGTTGGTGGAGTCTGGGGACAGGGGATGGGAGACAGAAAGAAGAAAAGGGCACAGAGAAAAGGAAAGTATCAACTAGGCCAGGAAACTGAGCCATGTGCCCTTTCAAAGCAGTGCTTGTAACTCTTCAGAGAGCTTAACAGAAGTAACTGTTTTAATCTAGAAGTGAAATGACAGAAAAGCAGAGCAGGTATAACATCAAGTCCTAGAAGATGAAAGAGGTTGTGGTATGGGTTGCGTTTCAAAAGCTAACTTTTAGTGAATTTTGACGCTATGTGCCAGGGTTGTGCTAGTTCTTCTTTATTTCATCTCCTCAACAACATGCAAAGTGAGATTGCTTGCTTGCTTGTTGTTCTAGACAAACAGGATTAGAGAGGTTAAATACCTTACTAAAGCTGTCAAGAGAAAGAAAATCACAAACCACAATGAGACACCACCTTATACCTGTTAGAATGGCTACTACCAAAAAGACAAGAGATAACAGTGCTGGCGAGGGTGTGGAGGAAAAGCCATTCCTACCTTGTGCACTCTTGGTAGAAATGTGAGTTGGTGCACAGTATGGAGGTTCCTCAGACAATTAAAAATAGAACTACTATATGATCCAACAATTCCACTTCTGGGTATTTAGTAAAAGAAAAATGAAAACTAACTCAAATATATATCTGCACCCCCACATTCATTGCAAATAGCCAAGACATGGAAGCAACCTAAGTGCCCATCATAGGATGAATGCATAGAGATAAGGTGATACATAAAATGGAATATTATTCAGCCATAAAAAGAAGGAAATCCTGCCATTTGCAACAATACCGATGGACCTTGAGGACATTAAGCTGAGTGAAATAAATTAGACAGAGGAAGACAAATACCATATGATCTCACTTAAATGTGGAATCTAAAAACAAAAACAACTTAATTTGTAAATAGAGAGAACAGATTGGTGCTTGCCAGAGGTGGGGCAGGAAGGGTTTAAGAAAGTCACAAGGTAACCCCTAAAAAAATAAATGGCATAGCTAGACCTTGAATCCAGGACCTTAAGATCAGACTTTTAATCATTATGTAGCCCTACCCAATTGGAATTATTTTCTACTATCCAGGGAAATTGGTGGATTATAAACACACATTCACACCAAACCCCCAAATGAGAACATATATGTAAATTAACATTTCTTGCTCAGATTTCCATAGGGTGAATTTATACCTGCAGATTAAAAATTTATACCATGTGGTCCCTCAGGGACTCCCCATGTTTTTGGTCACATTTCTTCTTTGGGACACAAAGAATGATTCCAACAGAATTGTGAGCTCTTCCTCCTGGCCCTTGGCTCCCTGACCCAGAGCACTGGAGGCCTGCACTTCTCCTTCCTGCTGGCTGTGGAAAACCTCACAGAGGTGGGCTTACAGGCCACTCTGAGCTGTGCTCAGGCCAGAAGCTTTAGGGCATTTCGGTGGAAAGAGAAACATGTGGGACTTTGGACATGTGAACTCTTCATAAATAAAACATTCCTTTCACTGTTGAGGTTCTTGTCCCCCATTGACCTGACTTGGCCTCCAGAGTGCTCCCACTAACTCACTAGACACACTCACTGGTATAATGTCATCACTATCAACCCTGAATGCTCCGTGGGAACCCCAGATAGACCATCAGGAGAGGGGTCAGGACAGGGTTACAAAAATTAAAATACCAACTCGGTACATTTCTATGACTTTATCTCTTACGTACTTTATCTCTTATGTGGTCTGCATTAGGAAAGAGGCCACAGCAGACAAGTTTGTGGCAACTAGGACAGTGGGGTAAAGGGAAGAGAAAGCTGAAATTACGCTTGTTAAACCACAGTTAAATCCTCTGTCATACAAGGTGCGTTAAGGCAGATTCCTTCAGAATTGCCATCTGCTTACCATGCATGAGCCTGGATGAATTCCACAGCATCTCAAGGAATGGCTTTTGGAATAGACTTTATTAGGGAAATTTCTAAAGCAAGGATCAACAAGGGAAGAGAAGGTGCAAATGCTAGACATACAGTAAGTCTGAGTTCAGGGGGAGAGCCCCAGTCCACTATTCTCTCTTCTTTTAGAATAAACCTGAAAGAAAACTTAACAGAGGGGTGATGATCTGATAGGACCACTCTGTAGCCAGGCAGTCTGGAGCTGGCTGCCTGCTGGGTGGGAGGTATGTGGGAGCACCCACTACCCTGTCTCTGCAGACCTCGGTATCTGAGAGATGGTGCCCTGAGGGAGGAAATCTCTAGCCTTAAGGGAAGCTGAGCTTGGATGTGACCCCTTCTGCTGAAAGAGAAACAAACCTTTAGGCGCAGCTGGTTTGTTCCAGCATCCCAGAGAAAGCTTGTAAGTTAATTTTTTGTTGTTGTTCATCCTCACCCAAGAATATTTTTTCCATTCATTCTTAGAGAGAGTGAAAGGGAGGGAGGAGAAAGAGAGAGAGAGAGACATCAATGTAAGAGAGAGATATCACCTGGTTGCCTTCCGCAGGTGCCTGACCAAGGCAAGAGATCAAACCTACAACCTAGGCACATGCCCTTGACCGGGAATCAAACCTGAGACCCTTCAGTGCACAGGCTGATGCTCTAACTTCTGAGTCACACTAGCCAGAGCAAAAGCTTGTGAGTTATTTTTTACAAATCTCATTGCACACCCGCACACTTACATTTTAGATGTATCAGTTGTTCTGTGACAAGTATGTAGCAGTTATAGAGGAAGAGGGACATCAACAGCCTCAAGCTATATGGTACTGAGAGTCATATAATCTACTTTTGGTCAAGTTATTACGTTTTTTTAGAGTACAGGGAAATCTAGTGGCCAGAAGACATGCCCCAGTGCACATGCGGCTAGTCTTCCCTGGGTCAACGCCTTACATTTTCCTACTTGGCTCTCACCATCCGTTACGGAAAAAAATAATGACAGCTCCTTTTCAGAGGATCACTGTCAGAGTGAAAATCAAATAAGCAGTCATTAATTAAAGCACCAGGAAACTCCAGAGTACTAGATAAACACGTTTGATTATGATTGTTGTTTATCCATTTGGTGTTTGGCTATGAACTTACTCTAACAGAAAATTCAGCTACAAAGTGTATCATTGTAGCCAGTATCTCCCATCAATTAAATTCAGCAAGTATTTATTGGGAACTTATTTTAGTGCCAGCCATCAAGCCAAGTCCGGGGATAAAATGGGGAAGAAGACAGTGTCCTTTGTCATGGACCTCATAGTCTAAATCTGGTTTACTTCTCCAAGCGTGGTCTTTGGATCACTGACATTGTTAGAAGTCAACCCTTGCAGCCCCACTCCTAGACCTCCTGAAAGAGAATCTCCATTCTAACCCTCTCTCTAGAAGATGCGT